TTTCTTTCTTTCTTTTTTCTTTCTCTCTTTCTTTCTTTTTCTCTCTTTTTCTCTCCTTTCTTTCTTTTTCTTTCTCTCTTTCTCTCTTTTTCTCTCTTTTTCTCTCTTTCTTTCTTTCTCTCTTTCTTTTCCTTTCTTTCTCTCTCTCTCTTTCTTCTTTTCTTTCTTTCTCTTTCTCTCTTTCTCTCTTTCTTTCCTCCTTCTTTCCTTCTTCCTTTTTTCCTTTCTTTCTTCCTTTCCTCTCTTTCTTTCTCTCTCTCTTTCTCTCTTTCTTTTTCTCCCTTTCTTTCATTCTTCTCTTTCCTATGAGAAACTCTTGGCTGAGCAGCCTGAGTTTGCTTCAGGAATATCAATAATAAAATTGGAAGGCTTTGAGAATTGGTAGGGATTGTAGTTGGGTTGGATGCTCCCTTCCAGACAGAGGTTTACTGGGAGCAAAACAGCGACAGGACAAGAGGAATTGGCCTCAAGTTGTGCCAAGGGATGTTCAGGCTGGACATCAGGAAGAATTTCTTCATGGAAAGGGTGGTCAGGCATTGGAAGGGGCTGCCCAGGGAGGTGGTGGAGTCCCCATCCCTGGGGGTGTGGACATGGCACTCAGTGCTCTGGACTGAAGGACAAGGTGGGGATCGGTCACAGGTTGGACTTGATGGTCTTGGAGATCTTTCCCAGCCTAAATGATTCTGTGATTCAAACTTCCAGCCAGCTCTGCCACACAGATGGAGGCAAAAAATTCTAGTGAATTGAATATAAACTAGTAATTAAATTCTGCATTGGTGTTTTAAATTTCCATGCCTTTATATGGCACCACGGATTGAGAACGTTGTGGGCTGTGTTAGACAGGGTGATCCATGGGTATCCATGGGTATCCAATCCCTGCTGCTCTTGCAACATGTAGGAGCAACAGCAGAGATTCCCAATTGTTATATAGTCATTACTTCAAGGCAGTAGGTGGGAAAAGTGGTTCCATGTGCCTGAAAATGGAGCATCTTTCCCTTGATATCCACCCGTAGGGCTCTGAATGGTCCCTGTCCATTGATGTTCCCCTGGGAATGCAGCCCCAGTAAGCAGCAAGACCAGTAATGTGACACTGTCACAATGAAGATGTTTGTTAATTGTCTCTTTTGTAGCATAAAATGTTAAATCAGCTTGCTGGAACACCACAGATTTTATCATGTAGTCATTTATCATATATAATCACCTAAAATCTGTCTGCAGTTTGGCTACACTGAGCTATACTGTCAGTCTGACTCCTCGGAATTATGATTTGTTATGGTGCTTTTCCTACATATTCACCATAATTGGGATCCTACCCCAAAACCTCAGACGTAACGTCACTAGAAAATATTCTTTGTATAAACACATCCTACACTTTCTGTAAGTAAATCCCTGCTTGGTATTTGTGTTGTTATTTTGCACACGTAAAACCCAACGGCTCTAGAGTTGCCTGGATGGCAAAGTGGATTCAGCTTTTCCAGTAATATTCTTATTAAAAAAAAAAAAAAAAACTCCTCCAGGAGCCTGCAGGAATTCCGAGCAGATAGTGACTCCTGAATTTTCCCATAGGCCACGTTTAAAGTCAAATTAGGTTGTGACATTAAATAACACCATATGGTGTGTTCACTCCCTGCTGCTCCAACTGGAGACTCGGTGCAGTTTCGGTGGCGTTTTACAAGGGTTGATTGATTTGGGGGTGGGTTATGGGTTCTTGGAAGTCAGATGATCTTGGGAAAAACCTTGGTGTTTGTCTTTTAAAGACCAGAAGAGGAAAATTTGCAAGGGCTGTTTGTGTTAATGTAAAACTGGGGGGCTCAGCCTGGAGAAAAGGAGGCTCGGGGGGACCTTCTTGCTTTCTACAGCTCCCTAAAGAGGTTGGAGCCAGGTGGGGATTGGTTTTTTCTCCCAGATAAGAAGTGACAGGACCAGAGGAAATGGCCTCAAGCTGTGCCAGGGGAGGTTTTGATTGGATCTTAGGAGATTTTCTTCACTGAGAGCGTGGTCAGGCATTGGAAGTAGCTGCCCAGGGATGTGGTGGGGTCACCATCCCTGGAAACATTCAAAAAACGTGTGGATGTGGCACTTGCGGATGTGGTTTGATGGTGGTGGTGCTGGGTTTATGGTTGGGCTGGATGATCTTTTCCAAGTGTAGCAATCCCATGATTCCATTGTGTGTGTGCACATGGAATTGTGTACGTCTCAAAGCTGTGTCACACCTGTCAGGAGCGGGATTTGGAATCAAACTCTGCTTCGGGTGATGAACTCCTGGGGTCTTGTGCAAACTCCTTTTGTCCTCCAGGTGGTTTTCTTTCTCAGGGGCTGCCAAAAGCATCGGTGCAAACTTATCAAAGCTCCAAATTCGCGCCGTATTCCTGAACCTTCAAAAATAGAGATTAAAGCACCTGCAGATGCAGACAGGACATTCCACACGTGGCATGTTTTCCGGGATCCTTTCATTTTGACTGTTCCTTTCTTTTTTTTTTTTCTTTTTTTTAATTACAGTTCTTTGAGGTCCCGTTTGACTCAAACATGAACAGGACAAAGAACAGGCCGCTGGTGCGAGGACAGATCAGGTAAGGCCCTGCACACCTGCTCTGGCTGAGAGAAAGGAGCTTCACGCTGCTTTTATCTGTTTCCAAGTTTCCCTCCCTCTTCAGATGACGAAAAATAGCACTTTTAAGGCAAAAGACGCAAGGAAGAAACGCGTCTCTCTCTGTTCTTTGCTGTTTCTTCGTGTTTATAACTTTCATCTGAGGAGTTTGGGCAATCAGCTGTCCTGGAAAACACGGAATTTCTCAAGGCAGCTGAATTTCCCCTCGTGTTACATATTTCTTCATGTGCCATGAGATGGCTGCGTGCGTGGTGTGGTAGCACACAGTTATGTTCCACTGAACTTCTCTTTTGTAACAATAAATCTTCAGAATTTCCCATCTTAGAACAAACACAAAGATGTATGTTGTTTTTAATAGTCACATTTATCTCTTGGATCGCAGATACTCGTTTGAGACTCCCAGCAGAGGTACCTACAAATCATTTTCTTTAGTGGTTTGTAAAGGCCCTTGTGTTGTCTTTGCCTATTTAGCCGGGTGAAAACTCAAAATTGTGGCATCTCGTGGAATTAATGTGAAAATTTGTCATCATTGAATTTATCATAGTCCATAAGTAAATTCCTCCCAGCCCAAAAAGCAAAGAGATTTCCTTCAAAAAAGTAAACCCGCTTCATTCCCTCTGTTTTTTGGATTATGTATCGGTTCAGTCTCTCAAAGGCTGTTTGCCAGCTAAAAAAGCAAAGTGAAAAAGAACATCAAGAAAAAAACCTCTGACTTATTTGCAAACTGAAACTGAAGGCCCAATTCATAAATGATTCAACAAACAATTTTAGTATTGCGTTTCCGTGATTTGTGCCAAGGATTATTTATAACAAAATTATGTTTTCCCTTAGGCTTCAGCGAACAGTTGGTCCTATTTCTTTCTGTGTTTTATCCATCACCTTTGGAGGACTGAAAAAAAAACCCGTGATAGATGAAATTACAAGAAAATTGAGACAAAATAGTAAAGTGAACCTTGGGGGTAAATTCGCTCTCATGGTAAATAGTTAGAGCACTTCAATAAACTTGTTCTGATTTGTTCTCAGAGATGGTGCTAATTACAGATTCCTGAGCTGAGTTAATTTTATTTAAAAACATATTTTAGGGACCACTGCAGTGAGGGCATCTGTTGTACATACAGTAAGTCAGGCTTAATTGTGCAGTTCAGGAGAGCTGCACTTCTGCTCCCTTCCATGTGGTCCTTTAGCCCTGGGAGAAGGAACACTTGTTAGGAAGAAAGATGATGGGGGATGGTTATTTTTATTATTTGTTTGTTTGTTTTTATCATAGTCTACTTGCATGGCTTGCAGTGCTTCTGGAGTCAAAAATATAACTAGGAAACTTTCTGTCAAGTTTTGATTCAGAGAAAGCCATTTATTTTATGTTTCCAGTGTCCTTAAGTGAACTTCGCTGTCGTCTGAATGCACCACAGATTGGCAAACCCATATTTCATGGATTTTCTTGCTTCTCCCTCCCTTTCATATTTGCTTTCACCACAAAATGGTAATGCTGGGGACTTTGTGTAATCACTCCTCAATCTATCTACCTGACTGTCAACAGCTAATTTAAAGTTCTTTAAAGTGTCACTTCCCTTGAATAATGCTGCCCTCGCTCCCTGCAGACCCTGGAACACGCAGGCCTTGACTGGGGTTATTTCTTCTGCCAGAGGAGAATAATCCAGTGCAAGTGATCTAACCTTGTTACGTTTTGCCACATATTCCCTGGTGTTCCTTGAACTCTTTCCTTCCTGGCTGATTAAATAAAGCCCGTAAATGGTTGTGCTAAAACCAGGCAAAACCAGACCAGACAGGGGTGGGTAAACAGTACGCAAGAGACTGGTGTCCTGGCTCTGGGAAGGGATCCAGAGAGCTTGGGGTATGCACGGAGTTCTTGCCCAAAATTTGTCTGACATTTGAGTTTTGACATTTTCTTCTCTTTAGCTGCTTCATTTCATGAAATACTTGATGGTTTTTTTAATTCTGCTGCATTACAACATCTGTGCTGTCCAGTGCAAACGAGGCATCATCTTCTGACCCGTCTTCATTTGCGCTGTTTGTGAATATATTCTGATTTCCCTCCCTTTTTTTTTATTTTTTTTTTGGTCTTTTCTTGCTTTCTGTTTATTTGGCATAGTCCTTGTTGCAGAACTGGTCAGTGTGGGTAGCAGGTTTTGTCCTGAGCTTGAGATCCCTTTTGAAGAGAGGGAAGGCTGTTAACTCTCCATCACGTTGGCTCTGCAGCTCCTTGGAAAGGCTTTTGGGGGTGGCTTTGATGTGAATCTTGCCCACTGAGAAACTGCACTGAGGCCAAGGAGAGTTTTTATAGGGGTTGTGCCATCACATAGAGGATTCTTAGATGCTTTGAGCTCAGGCCAGAATCAAACTGGTAACCCCCAGTGAGAGGTCCTTGGAGTTACTGAATCATGCAGTCCTGGGAGGAGCTGGAGTCTCCATTTTAGATAAGCTAATTCATGGAACTGGCTTGTTAGGAAATGTTTTGCCTTTGCAGAGAATTTATTTCCATGTGTTTCACTTCGTGGCCTCCATTTGCAGCCTCAGCCCCAAGTCTGTTTAGGTTTAAGACCAGCTGTCAGTTCTAACTGACCTTATTTCCAGCCTTTCTCCCTTTCCTTTCTTCCTGAAGTCTTCAATGGGAGAAAGCACCACAAGCCCCTGTCTGGGGGGGTTCATTTCCCTGCATACACATTCATGTGGTTCCCAGATCCCCAGATCAGCCTTTTCTGGGAGTTACTGAGGACTTGCAGCTTCTTTTGGGATCGGTGAGGAACCTCAGTAGCTTTTAAAGAAAAGCTCTGTGGCCAGGGCTGCACTGTGGGGTGTGGATGTCACCACGGCCTCAGAGGTGTGGCTGGGGACAGTGTCATGGTCTTACTGGTGGCACTCAAGAAGTGTCTCAGTTGGGCAGCTTTGGCCTGTCCATTGCTCCCTGTGAGCCAGTTCAGCAAACATCTCTGGAAGAGCAATTGTCCTCCATCCTTAGTGAAGCATCAACTTGATGGCTGAAACAGTTATTTAGAGGCTCAGTGTGCCCCTGCTCTGTATCTTATATCCTTTAGCCTGGACAATCCATGCAGGCACTGACACGACGACTCTGCAGAGCTGAGACTGCTCAATGTAGGCACTGGAGTACATTTACCTTATTTGCCAGCCCCAAACCCACCTCTGGTGCCCCCCAGGGAATCTTCTGACACTCTTGGTAGATTTGTGACAAACAGCACCTGATAGTTCATTGACTGCTTGCTTTACAATGTCCTATTTAATTTGTAAGGCTCTGAAAAAAATGTTCCCTTTGAGCAATGAGACGTAACCATCCTTATTCTCTATTCAGAGGGTAATCAGAGACATCCTGTTGCAAAAATAACAAGAGTAGACCCAAGCACAGCACGCCACTGAGCACCATCCATCATTCCTGCCTGCCCACATCTCCTCCTCCCTCCTCTGACCCCTCAAGTCTTGTTTGGAAATACAAACAGCTTGAGATGTTCTTCATACTTGGGCTGCAGTGTTAAACTCATTGAGTGCATTTGTGTTCTGCATTATAACAACAGCTGATATTGGTTTTCCTGCTATTGAATTGGTTTTGTGTCATTGACAGCGAAACATTTCACGTGCTCACACAACCTCAGATTCAACTGAAATGGCAGCAGCTTTTCCTGGTTTCCTGTTGGGTGTGATTTATTCCCTTGCTTTTTAAGGTAATGGATTTAATTTTCCTGCAGATTAATTTAAATAAATCTCCAGTATGAGCTGCAGTAGCTGAGGGAGCTTAACCTGGAGGATGACAAGTGTCCTGCTTCATTATGTTGTACAAAGTGACAGTTCTGATTGCCCAGAACTGCACTGTGAAACTCCTGTGAAAAAGTGGCTGTTTTATGAACTTAGGGTGCTGCTGGATCTGCTGTGTTAATCACTCATAAAAATCTTCAGAGCTGTACAGGAACAGTTTTTCATTTTAAAGATCCTGGGCCCTCGAACAGCACGTTCTAAATAACCAATTCATGGCCATGTGGACACCGCTCAGTTCTGCTCCTGTGGTATTTTGCACCTTTCAGCTGTTTTCTGTGCCAAGTCCTTTGGCTTTGGCCTCAGCAGTGGCTGCAGTGGCTGCCTGGGAGTGGGGCTGGGGCTTCTCCCTCACTTCACCCCCAGGTTTCTTGTCACCTGGACCATGCAGGGAGCCTCAGAGGATGGTCCAGGCTGGAAGGGATCTCAGGAGAGCTGTGGTCTGATCTGCTCACAGCCAGGGTTGGCTCCGGCTCTTGTCTCAAAACCCTTCAATATAATGGCTTTAAACTGGAAAAGAGTAGGTTTAGATTAGATATTAGGAAGAAATCCTTCCCTGTGAGGGCGGGGAGGCCCTGGCACAGGTTGCCCAGAGAAGCTGTGGCTGCCCCATCCCTGGGGTGTCCAAGGCCAGGTTGGACGGGGCTTGGAGCAACCTGGGCTGGTGGAAGGTGTCCCTGCCCATGGCAGGGGCTTGGAACAAGATAAGCTTTACAGTCCCTTTCAACCCAAACCATTCCTTAATTTTATGATAAAAATAACATGCTATGGAATTTAATTGTAGTCTCATTATGCTGAATATTTACACTCAAGCTTGCTTTTCCACATGCATTTAGGTCTATTAACATGGCAGAAGAAGGCACAACACAGATAATGCCTTGGATGACTAAAACAAGCAAATCTCTGTGTTGTTTGGTGGGTATTTTTTCCTAACATCCCATTAACCTCCTCCCTTGGCAGTGCCCAAGGAGCTGTGTTCTGTCTATGGATTTCCCACTCATGACCACAGCTGATGGTTATTGCAGTTAATGGAGGCACTAATGCTTCTCCTACTTGTTGACATTTCTGAATGGAGCTTTGATTTGGCTCAGTTTAACCTATAATAAGCCAAACTCTTGAAGAACCAGACCAAAAAGAGCTCCTGTGCTAGCAATGTTTCTCACCAATGACTTATATTTATGA